AAAGGAGGAGCGCGCTTATTGGGTTGAATATCTACCTGGACGAAGGTGGTATAACACAGATTATAAACTTCACCGACGACCAAATGTGCTACCCAATAGTGCTACGACGAGAGCAACCACCATTTGCTGCGTGAAAGAACTATAAATATAATCAGGAGTTCTTTATACCCAAGCTAAAAGTGGTATATGTTAATTTTAGCGTCTACACTAAAACGAACTAACTAAACGATATTACCGCCACAACAAGAAAACGGACGGTGGCTCTACTCAAGAACACCATTAAAATATTAACCAAAATATCGTCTATAATCGTCACAGTTTTAGTAGAAGCGAACGGGAACAAGATTTCTTAAAGCTCGATAACTTTGATAAAATAAACACTAAAACATCATAAGAGCGTGCTATAAACCAGAGGTCGGCAGTCAATACATTGATATGAATTTCTTGCCTTAGTATTAGCAAAGATTATAAAGTACATAGATGGGACATCTCATACAAAAAAAAAATTTTCTGAAACGAGCGGGTTCCACAGCGCGACAAGTTAAGTTTGAGAAATTTTTCGCGCGACAACGAATAAGGGACAGCTTAGTGGTAGAGTGCTTGGCTGCTATGCAGAGTAAAATGAGATCAAATCATGCTCAGAACGTCCCCTTGTTTTAAATTTTAATCTATTTATATTATTTTAAAGTGTTTTCCAAAATTTATAATCCAATCAAGAAAAATACAAAATTTTAAAATTACCTTTACACCGCATCAGTTTGTCGTGGAACCCGCTGTAAAAATCTCTATAAGTGCGGGTTCTACGGCATATTGGCTGTAAAACTTAAAACATTTGAGAGTGGGTTCCAGGACAAACGGCTGGCATATGAGAGAGGGAAAGAGAGAAATCTATTTTTAGAACGTAACATCTTTGGAACGATGAAGGTTTGAAACGTTGTAATCGAACCAATGTAAGAGTAAAGAGATCAGATATATCTTCTACTATCCTTACTCGTCAACTCTGTTTTTGGTATAGATTCTAGCGCTTACCTTAAAACCAATTTAAAGTATCATTAAATCAACTTAGAGGGTAGCCAAGTTAAAAAGGGCGCGATCTATATCCTTGGGGTCCTGGGTTCTATTTCATTAGTGCACGGTTGTTTCAATTTATAAAAAGATTTAGTTTTATGATTATTTTTAAGTTAACTATTATTTTTATACCCTTGCAGAGGGTATTATAATTTTGGTCAAAAGTGTGCAACGTAGTGAAGGAGACATCTCCGACCCTATAAAGTATATATATTCTTGATCAGGATCACCTCCTGAGTTGATATGAGCATGTCCGTCTGTCCGTCCGTCTGTCTGTTTCTACGCAAACTAGTCTCTCAGTTTTAAAGCTATCGACTTGAAACTTTGCACACACCATTCTTTCCTTTGCACGCAGTGTATAAGTCGAAACGGATCGGAAGACTATATCCTATAGCTGCCATATAACTGATTGATCGGAAATGGTATAACTTCGGTGTTTTTAGAGTTAGAGAGTTCAAATTTTACATGAGAGCTATTTTTGGCAAAAGAATACATGCAAAATTTTGTAAGAATCGGCCGACTATATCCTATAGCTGCCATATAACTGAACGATCGGAAATGACCCAACTTTCGTGTTTTTGAAGATAGAAAGCTGGAACTTTGTACAGATTATATTTTTGGTCAGTTAATCCGACTTACCAAATTTCATTAGGATCGGCCAACTATATCTTATAGCTGCCATATAACTGAACGATCGGAAATGGTATTTGGTAGAAATACCAACTTTGGTATTTTTTAAGATAGAAGTTTGGGACTTTTTTTTAGATTTTGTATTGTAATAAATTGGATTATATTTTTATATTCTCATAAGGATCGGCCAACTATATCCGATGTTTGCAATATATATTCGGTTTTAACTGCAAGGGTATATAAACTTCGGCTTCGCCCGAAGTTAGCTTTCCTTTCTTGTTTTGTAATAATATTTCTTTTTTACTTTTCATATTTACTGAATTATTATTATTTTAATTGCATTCTATTACAATTGTTGTAAAAAAAAGTGACGGACGTGTTGGATGACAAAATGCCGGTCAGACTCCCTTGAAATTTTATTAGCCGGACATAATAAAAAAAAGTTTAAAGTCCATATGAGGATTTGAACACAGAAAAATTGTTCATTGAGTAGCTACACTATGCGTTACGCTACCACCCTGATTCGATCTTGACTATTTGTTCTACTAACTACCACATCGGCGTATTGAAAACAAAAACGAGAAATTGAAATTTGGAAGCCAAAAAATTTTTACCGTCGTGCATACAGTTTTTTTTATACATACATGTAAAGAGTTGTAAAAATAGAATCGTATGCATGTGCGTTCCCCCCTCACCAAACATGCTCGACGAAAAAAGTTGACGGTTCAAAAGTAATTCAAAAGTTTGAGTGGGCCCTTTAAATGTGTATTTTATTTTAAAATAGTGTATTTTATTTTAAAATAGTCATGAAAAAAATAGAAATGACAAATCACGCTTCCCTATCTCTAATTTCTATGGAGAAAACTTGTTCCAACTTAATTTCTGAGAAAATTTTTCTCAGTGGAAACATTTTCTTTTAAGTTGGGCTGTCAAATGAGGCAAAAATGCGAGTAAATGTGAGAGTTTTTGAAAAAATTTAAGAGTGCTCACACAGAGTCAGTGTGTCGGCAGCGCTGCGCCAGAATTTCCGACCCTATGCACGCGTGCTATTGAAAAGGGCAGTTCAATTTCCCACTGGTTTATACTGTGTGTGTTCGTCAGAGCTCCGGCAGAAAAATTTTCTATGCCCCTGGATAGGGCCCGGCCGACCACTGCTATAAGCCTTTCTTTTCTTACAAAAGTCTGCAACGGTCTTACATCCTGGTTTGCAATAGGCAGCTATAGAGTATAGTCGACCGATCGTTATGAAATGTGGTGGGTCTGACCAACTGAGCCGAAAATACGAAAGTTGGATCACATCTGATAGTTCAGTTATATGGTAGCTATAAGATCTAGCCGGCCAATCCCGTTCCGACTTCTACACTGCGTGCAAAGGAAAAAATGGTGTGTGCAAAGTTTTAAGTCAATAGTTTTAAAACGAAGAGACTAGCTAGTTTGCGTAGAAACAGATGCTCATATCAACTCAGGAGGTGATCCTGATCCAGTATATATACTTTATGGGGTCGGATATGCCTTCTTCACTACGTCGCGAAGGCATAAAAATCACCAATACATTGGTGCGAGAATTTTTGCTTTTATTAAAGAAATGTTCTGCGAAAAAGAAGTTTATCACTTTAAGTCGATTATTCTTCTATTACAAAAAAAAATGCATTCGGACTAGAACGATTGAGGAGAATAGGGAAAACGGAAACATGCTATTGTAATTAGCCGTTCTCATGCTGGGAGCCAAATATTTTGCCGTACACATTATTCCGATCATCTTGCGGATTCGGTTAAAAATTTCTCACTCGATTCAACTCTCTGAACAAAACCCAGTGATGAGGAAAAACTTTTTTTTTGCCATCTTGAGTTCTTCAGCGTTTAATAAAATGATTATGTGTTGACGAATGCATTATTCGGTTCATTTTGAGGTAATCGTGTATGAGTAAACGATTATCGCATTGTGACGCATAACTTTTGTCAACACAAATGAATGTGATAAGCGATATCTTCAAAAATACAAAAATTGGTATTTTTACCAACTACCATTTCCGATCGTTCAGTTATATGGCACCTATAAGATATAGTTGAGACCAAGATATAGTATAGACCAAAAATAGAATGTGTACTAAATTTCAACTTATTTATTCTCAAAAACACGAAAGTTGCGTCATTTTTATACCCTTGCAGAGGGTATTATAATTTTGTCCAAAAGTGTGCAACGCAGTGAAGGAGACATCTCCGACCCTATAAAGTATATATATTCTTGATCAGGATCACCTCCTGAGTTGATATGAGCATGTCCGTCTGTCCGTCTGTCCGTCTGTCCGTCTGTCTGTCTGTCTGTCTGTTTCTACGCGAACTAGTCTCTCAGTTTTAAAGCTATCGACTTGAAACTTTGCACACACCCTTCTTTCCTTTGCACGCAGTATATAAGTCGGAACGACCGGGATCGGCCGACTATATCCTATAGCTGCCATATAACTGATTGATCGGAAATGGTATAACTTTGGTGTTTTTAGAGTTAGAGAGTTCAAATTTGACACGAGAGCTATTTTTAGCAAAACATTACGACATGCCAAATTTCATAAGGATCGGACGACTATATCCTATAGCTGCCATATAACTGAACGATCGGAAATGACCCAACTTTCGTGTTTTTGAAGATAGAAAGCTGGAATTTAATACAGATTCTATTTTTGGTCAGTTGACCCAACCTACCAAATTTCATTAGGATCGGCCGACTATATCCCATAGCTGCCATATAACTGAACGATCGGAAATGGTATTTGGTAGAAATATCAACTTTCGTATTTTTGAAGACAGAAGTTTGGGACTCTTTTTAGATTTTGTATTGTAATAAATTGGATTATATTTTCCTATTTCCATAAGGATCGGCCAACTATATCCGATGTTTGCGACATATATCCGGTTTTAACTGCAAGGGTATATAAACTTCGGCTCCGCCCGAAGTTAGCTTTCCTTTCTTGTTTATCGTTCAGTTATAGCAGAGCAATTGGATATAGTCGGTCGATCCCGGCCGTTCCGACTTATATACTGCGTGCAAAGAAAAGAAGGGTGTGTACAAATTTTCATGACGATAGCTTTAAAACTGAGAGACTAGTTTACGTAGAAACAGACAGACGGACAGACGGAGAGACGGACATGGTTATATCAACTCAGGAGGTGATCCTGATCAAGAATATATATACTTTATAGAGTCGGAGATGTCTCCTTCACTGCGTTGCACACTTTTGGAAAAATTTATTATACCCTCTGCAAGGGTATAAAGAAAATAAACAGAAAACGTTTAACCTGCTTACCTGAAGTTGGCTGGTGACAGTCGTTTGACTGTCACTTTGGGCGTTAGTATGTTTCCCAACATTAAAGTTGACTTTCGGTAGAGTTTGCACAGCCATTCCGCCCGTGCTTGTTTTCACAAACTGCAGCTGAAGATTTGGAGGTAAGGTAAGTGGCTTTTGGATGTAGTACTGTTTTCCACTAATTGGTGCAGCCGGATTAGAAGGTTGTAATTGTCCAGAAGCAGTAGGCATTGCTGTTTTTAATAAATTTGATGTAGAGACACTACTTGAAGCATTTGAATGAACAGAAGCTAGACGAATTGTCGGTGAAGCAGACACACTTGGAACAAGTCGCAAGGCGCCACTTGAAGAAACTGAAGTTAAAACAACATTTCCCGCCATAGAACTTGTTACTCGTAAAGAAGAAGAATCAGTTGCAAGGGAGGTTGTTGTAGTGGAGCTCGTGGTTATTAATCTAGATGTAGATATATTGGGGCGAAACTTTTGTAATATGCCACTAACGGTACCACAGGTACTGTTTGTATTGGCAGTGCTATTGGATACAGATATTTGCGGTTGTACTGAAACTGCCGAAGTAGATATGGAAAACGAGGCATTACAATCATTTGTAATTGGTTTCGTTTGAAACTGAGCGCTTATCGATGATGACAATGGCTGTGAATCTAATAGATCGCTAAAGCCAGTACAATTTGAAGATGTTCGCTGTGTAACTATTGATCCTGTGGTAGTGGGAGTTTGATGAAGGCTCTTCCCCGCCTTTGAGCATACGTCTGCGGAAGTGTTTGCTTCGATTCCAACTTTTTCACCTCCTCCAGTTGTTGTTCCATGGTGTACAAGATTCTGGCTTGAGGGTTTGGAAGCTGTGTTTACGGATTGATCTATCTTTTGAATTTGTAAAATATATGCCGCAGCAAACGTGGTCGCAGACCATGAAAGCTCAAGAGCATGTGTAGAAGCGCGCACGAGTGCAACTTTAACAGCATAAAGAGGCTTTGTCACTTCCAGGTACCATAAATCTTTGCAGCATACCTTAAAAAAAAATGAAATTTTTAATTATACTAATGTTTATGTTAATATTATGAGGTTCATATAAGTAACGGATTTAATGTATTCGTTTTTTTTTTTTAGAATTTACTCATATTGCACAAAGAGCATAATATTCGCTAATATGTACTTACTCCCTTTAATATACAGTTGAAAAAAAAGAACCATTTGGACAGGACAAACTTTTCAATTTTTTTTCAAAAGTGGAGAGAAAAATCGCAATGCAACAATATAAATACCCAAACCTAAGACCACCTGCAGAAATAAATTTTTATTAGCGCATCCTCTATTGCTAAGAGAACCTGCGCAACGAGGCAACAGAGTCCTGACAAGGTTATACGAAAATTTTGATCGAAAACTTTAAAGAAAGTTTTTAAAGTGATTCCAATGTTAGTTAAAATAGACTCAAAAACTCAATAGAAATAAAATAATAATAAAAATAGATAAAAACAATAAAATAGACTCAAATCTCCTTGACTTTGGACTAAATATTTTCTGTGGGATTATATGGCAGCTATAAGATATAGTCGGCCGATCCTTATTAAATTTGGCATGTCGTAATGGTTTGCCAAAAATAGCTCCCGTGTTAAATTTGAACTCTCTAACTCTAAAAACACCAAAGTTATACCATTTCCGATCAATCAGTTATATGGCAGCTATAGGATATAGTCGGCCGATCCCGGTCGTTCCGACTTATATACTGCGTGCAAAGGAAAAAAGGGTGTGTGCAAAGTTTCAAGACAATAGCTTCAAAACTGAGAGACTAGTTCGCTTAGAAACAGACAGACAGACGGACAGACGGACATGCTCATATCAACTCGGGAGGTGATCCTGATCAAGAATATATATACTTTATAGGGTCGGAGATGTCTCCTGCACTGCGTTGCACACTTTTGGACAAAATTATAATAACCTCTGCAAGGGTATAATGAATACCTTCAATGGAATTTGAGTAATGGTAGGACTCTTTTGAATACGAGGAATACTAAATATAAAAAAAATTAAATTTTTAATAAATTTCGCCAGTAACTACATTTATTTTTGCCCAAAATAAAATGTGCTGAAGGGGTACTATTTTTTTCGCTACTGTATACGAGTGCAAGAGTGCATCGATGAACTTAAATCTTTGTATGGCGATGGAGCACCATCTTATAGCACTGTGAAAAACTGGTATAATGAATTCAATCGCGGCCGACGCTCGCTCGAAGACAAAGGTCGTGAAGGTCGTCCAAAAACAGTCGTTGTTCCAGAGAACATTGACGCCGTGCATGAACTGATGCAAGATCATCATGTGACATACCGTGAGATAGAGGCATCCTTGGGCATTTCTTCCATCAGCATACATTCGATATTCCATGAACACTTGGTCGTAAAAAAAAATTTGTTCTCGTTGAATCCCGCACAATTTGACAATCGCTCTAAAAAAAAACTCGTGTGGATAAGTGCAAAAAAAAAAATTAAAAAATACAATCGCGGTGTTTTAAAAGACGTTTATAAGATCGTCACAGATTATGCTTGCTATGCTTATGAGCCAAAAACAGCCATCGACCGTGTGGGTCTTCGAAGACGAGCCAAATCCAACGAATATTGTTCGTGGAAGAAGCACATCGAATCAAATGGTGGCCTGTTTTTTTGGTAAAACAGGTCATGTGGCGACTGTTCCGCTTGAGCAACGTAGGACAGTCAATTCCGAAAGGTATACCACAAAGTGCTTCGACAATTAACTTGAGCGCATGCAAAAGTGTATAAGTCTTGCTGGAGAATACTTTGTAAAACAATAAAACTATTTTTAATCATATATATTCGCATTTTCATTATTAGGCCAGAAAAATATTTAGCAACCCACGTATGTTAGTTTTATGCCTTGTATACTCATTTATAGAATAACAAGTATCCGTTCCGCGAGTATCCTGCGTTTTCTTTTATCTAACATTTAATTAGCGGAAAACGGCCAAAAATTGATACCACGTAGACATGGTAAATAAAATAATGTTCCTTCATTTCAATATTAAGGGGTTATATACAGTTGTGATTGATTAAAAAATCGATTTTTTTTTATTGCATATTCTTTAAGTATGTATATACTGTTGAGAATACTTTTACAAAAAATAACGATCGGAGCATTAGAACCGAAGTTGTAGCTATTTATAGCGCACTACCTGCACATCAATCTTGAACAAACTTGCAACTTTAAACGCGATTATATCAGAACCTTGTTTTTTCAAAATTACCTTTGCGGTGGACACGATAACTAAAAAACTATTAATCCGATCAACACCAAATTTTGACCACTTATTTATTATGATATTACCGTGATTACCGCTATACCGTGAACGAAAAATTTTAAATTTTTTTGAAAACTTTTTTTTTAGAGCATAAAAATTGAAAATCTTATACCTTGAAAAAGTACTTTTTTTGTTAAAACCGTCACCATTTTTTTGTAATAAAAATTTTTACAAATCGCTCGTTCACGGACTAGACAATCTAACATACTAACTAAATTTTTTTGAAGTTTTTTTTTTGACACACCCTTCTTTGGATTTCAGATGAACCGTTTTTGGGATATCATGTCCACCGCAAGACACCATCGAAAAAAGACGATCCGGGAATTCGGCTATAACATTTTTATTATGTAACATTTTTTTATGAAAATATTTAATTAATTACCCAGAAACATGTACTAAACAACTTCGGTAAAACATTTTTTATAAATATTTTCTATAGTGTCAAAAAAAAATCGATAAAATTCCATTTTTTTGCGTGGTACAACTGTATATAACCCCTTGACAACTTAAATATAGATTCATTTATAACATAAAGTAATTATTATACCCTTGCAGAGGGTATTATAATTTGGTACCCTTGCAGAGGGTATTATAATTTGGTCCAAAAGTGTGCAACGCAGTGAAGGAGACATCTCCGACCATATAAAGTATATATATATTCTTGATCAGGATCACCTCCTGAGTTGATATAACCATGTACGTCCGTCTGTCTATTTTTACTTAAACTATTCTCTCCGATTTAAAGCTATCGTCTTAAAAATTTGCACACACCCTTCTTTCCTTTGCACCCAGTATATAAGTCGTTGTCCCAGTATATTAATTTAAACAAAAAAAAAATACCACACTTTATAAAACTTTAATAGGTTAAAACAAGAAAAGAAAGCTAACCGAAGTTGATATACCCTTGCAGTTCAAACCGGATAAATATCGCAAGCATCGGATACAGTTGGCCGATCCTTATGAGAATATCATAATATAATCAATTCATAACAAAACAAAATTTAAAAAAAGTCTCAAACTTCTATTTTAAGGAACACCAAAGTGTTTTTTTTCGCGGTCTTTCAGAATTTGGATATGGCTTGTACATCAATAAGAGCATCAGGTAGCATTCCTGTATTCATCATAAAGAGGCCAAGTCGGCCGAGGTGCGCTCGAAAAACGATTTGTTAGTACATATTAAGCTATTTGTAATTTGTTAAGCTAGGAGGAGTTAGTAAGAAAATTTAAATTGCTATATTTTAAATTAGAGGGACAGGAAAGAGATGTTATAGAGTAGAGACCATTGTAGTTCGAACATAATACCCTAAAAGGGTCATGCAGTGCATATATCGAACTACAACGGCTAAGGAACAGAGGACTAAAGTTTTGAGTCCTTCTATTAGGAATGTTAAATTTTAAACGTGTTAGTAAATGCTGGCTATCTACATCCCCGTTATTAAGGTTATGCAGAAAAACTACACCGAGCATTGTCCTACGATTTGTTAAGCTAGGTAAGTTTATAAGTAAAAGTATGCTACTGTAGGATGGAAGCTGAAGATTTGGATCCCAGTATAGTCCTCTAAGTGCGAACATTCTATGCGGTCCTTATGTACTCCATATTGGGGACTCCAGGCACATGAACCATACTCCAGTATAGGACGGACCAAGGAAATAAATAATGTTTTGGTTATATAGGGGTCATTAAATTCTTTTGACCACCTTTTGATAAAACCAAGGACTCCTTTAGCCTTATTAACCATTAAGGAAATATGGTCGGAAAATTTAAGTTTGATGTGTAATAGGATGCCGAGATCATTAACCTGGGTTAATTTTTCTAAGGCAATCCCATTAATAGAATAAGTAGCTTGCAGAGGGCAAGAACGATAAAAAGACATATGTTTGCATTTTGATCCATTAAGTATTAGATCATTAGCCAAACACCATTTTTGAAAGTTATCAAGGTCAGACTGAAGACTGCATTGGGCAGAGATGGATTTGTACTGAAGACAAAGCTTTACATCATCTGCATACATAAGAACTAGAGAGTTCGTTAAAGCAGGGGGCAAGTCGTTTATAAAAAGCGTAAATAATAACGGGCCAAGATGACTTCCTTGAGGGACGCCGGATGTAGCACGGACCAGACGGGACTGAATGTTTTTAAATAAGACTCTTTGTGTCCTTCCATCTAGGTAGCTGGAGATCCACGTTAAGAGGTCTTTAGGAAAACCCAGCATATTTAGTTTACTCAAAAAGAGTGAGTGATTAACTGAATCAAATGCTTTGCTGAAGTCTGTGTAAATTACATCGGTTTAATATCCCTTACGAAAGCCATCTATGACAAAGGATGTTAACTCGAATAAGTTTATGGTGGTGGAGCGAAGCTTAATAAAGCCATGCTCACAAGGAGTGATAATCGAAGAGCAAAGGTGTTGCAAATTTCTTTTTTTTTTTTATTATAGCTTTGCTTTTATTTATTGAATCTACTCTTAATTTTGAGACTAACAATAAGTTGACGAATCTTAACATTAAAATTTAACTAACAGTATACTAAGACTGCATTCTGGTTGCGCGTCCCTCAGGTCGGTCGCTGGGTGGGTAAGTCATTGCGACGAAGGCGTGATTGGTTGCTCAACCTTGTTAGACCTCTCGCCAGGTGGTTAGGGTGCACCGGATAGCTTGGTTAAGTACTTCTGTTCTGCGATCGCTTCTTTGACTGGTAGA